ACCATGTAAAAATATTCAAGAAAAAAAATTGACTTCATTTTTGAATCGGTGGCACCTTGATTTTCCACCCCAAAGAAATATAAAATTTCTGAAAACTTCTTAAGTTTGACATTAGAAAGTTTTTACAAGCCTCACTATTTAGTATCAATAAACCCCATTTTTGACGAGCTTTCATTTGATATAAAATTCATTATGTCTTCTATTTGAAATTATAGCGTTACCCCTCTGGAATAATATTTTTTCCAACCGTGTATATATATACTGAAATCTTTAATTTCAAAAATGAAGATTTTTCGACACAGATTTAAGGCTTCCGTCCGGTTCTCGGTATCAGTGTTTTTGAAACCATCGAATTATATAGGGTAGGGCAAGGGTCAGAAAAGAAAACTTACCTGTATATCTCTAGATGATAAACTCAATCTGCATTCATTCAATACGAAGGACTTCAAGCCTTGAAATCGGGCCTGATCCGATCCAACAATATCCCATGACCATCCGCCTCGCACTATCACGGATTATAATTATATATCTTTTACAAAAACAAAACAAAAAAAGAAAGATCTCTATATCCTATGACTCAAAACAGATATGTCAATAATGAAAAGTTTATCATTATCATATTTACGAGATTCAATAGGATAAGACAAATTTCTTATTGAAATAGACAAAATATTTACGAATCAAATTTGTGATGGATATTTCCATCGGTAATCAACCGAAAAAACACAAGATTCTCCGAAGATTTTGTTTCGTCTGTAGAACTTTGTTGAACTGATCATTTTAGTAAAAGAAAAATATTCAAATTTTACTCAATAAATCATTCATGCTAGACCTATCAGCCTACTCGAAAAGTCTTTTTGTAGCAGATTGAACGATCTATTTTGAAGTTTTGTGTAAACTGATATTCATACCTTATCTGGAAAAGTACTAAAATCATCTCGAGTTGTTGAAGAAACTCCAAATTTCGAATGTTTATATCGTCGAATTATATCTGATAGAGTAGCAGCGACAAGAAAATATTCTTGTTTAAGACGAAGTTCTTTGCCTTGTTGATACTAAATATTAAAAAAAAAAGATTTTTTTTTTTTAGTAATTCCATAAAAACATTGAATATTCTTACATTATCATTTGGATAGAGTACTCGTGTAACATTTTCAGCTAAACTTTGTTCACTTACTGCATTAAGATAATCACCGTCATTAACTAAACAAAAGAAAATAAACAGTAAAGAATGATAAAAAAGAAAAACAACAAACAAAATTGAAAATTAAATTTTTGTGCTGCTTTTGCGCTCCATAATCGAAGTGTATTAACAACCTAGAATATTAAAATAAGAGATTTTTTTTTGTTTTTCTTCATACTATTACTAACATTATTATTAAATCCTGGAACTGCTGTATCATAAGGCATAGCCATAATAACCTAAAGATAAATATAATAAAATGAAATTTGATTGTATATCAAAAAACGAACTTTTGTATCAACCCATTTTGGTTTTCCATTTTGTTCAATAACACGACCATATAGATTAACTGGAATTTGATATTCTGGTCGAGGAATTTCCCATGGATTTCCATAACGTAACCTAAATATAATTTTTAAATAGAAAAAAAAAAAATTTTTTTTTTCTAATTAATCTTATTACCAATCATCAGGTTCTTCACATTGAAAACCATCTTTAATTGTTTGTTGAAATATACCAAATTCATAACTAATCAAATTAGATAAAAAAGAAATTCGATAACAAAAAAAAAAAAGAAAACATTTCTACCGTAATCCATAACCATAACCAGCTATTCCAAGTGTAGCCATTGAATCAAGAAAACAAGCAGCAAGTCGACCAAGACCACCATTACCTAATCCAGCATCATCTTCAAAATCTTCTAATTCTTCAATTGATAAACCAAGCTAAATAAATTAAAAATTATCAAAAAATAAAATTCTTCTATATAATTACTTCATATAAAGCTTCATCTATTTCAGATTCAATTCCAAGATTAACCATCATATTTGATAATGATCGTCCCATATAATATTCTAATGATAAATAATAAACACGTTTTGGATCAGTATCATAATAATGTTGTTGTGTACGAATCCATCGACCAACAAGATGATCACGTACAGTATATGCTGCTGATAAATAATAATCACGATTTGTAGCTACATTACGATCTTTAACAACAGTAAAATGTAAATGACGATTAAAAGTTTTTTTAACAGATGCTACATTTTCAATTAATGGTAAACCACGAATAGATATTTGTTTACGTCGATCTTTATCTGTTAATGGTACTTTAGTTGTTGATTTTGACATAATTTAAATCTAGAATAAAATAGGTACTTATTTTATTTACTACGAAACAAAAATAGAAAATAACAAAGCAATCATTACTTTCTTGTGGCCTTGTATAAAAACAATCGAACGAAAGAAACGAAGAAAAAAAAAAAAGATCGTACTTTGCACTTGATATATATATATATACGTATAATAAACGGGCCCTTGTCGTTCTTTTATTTCGACGTATGACACGTTTTCTAACAAGTAGTCCTGCACTTAGGAAGTTAAGTATCTAAAAAAAAAAAAAGCGAAGAAAGAAAAAAAAAGAATAATCGCTGACTTATGTTAAAGTGTCATTTATTTACTTTCAATAGATACTTGTAGAACAAAGAATCTGTTTAACAGCTGGAAAGCTTCAAAACTACACTTCTTTATTTTATTATAGAGAATATGATATGATCACTTTCTTTTTTTTTTATTGAGACACACCTCCGAGAGAAAGTGTATTGATGTACAAAGGTTAGAATAAGATTATAAAAGATATTAATTTCGGTTATATAATTTTTTAGATTGATTCTAAAGTTCCATATCTCATGAGCAAAATGTCAGATCAATTCTGTAGCATTCGATCTTCTACTAGATATTTTTCTTTCGATCGAAAATTGAATAACATAATCATAAATCTAGAAGGACAAAAGATAAATGTGAACAATCTATGAGTCTAATCGATGTTCGATCATTGAGAAAATCTCCTAATAAGTCAGAAGCAAAAATTTAATAAATTTCCTCCACTGTCTTAAGCGCTAAAAGCTAAATTATGATTCGAGTAGAAAATCTGAATTTTTCAACACCTAGAATACGTACATTTTTGTCGACCGAGATACAGTAACTTGATTGAATGTCCAATAGAAAATAGTGAAAAAAAAACAGACTTTAGCAGCTTCCATATTATTGCTGTATTTCCGCCAAAAAATGTTGTAGACAATTGTTTTCTCTATTATTATAAGTGGTCCTAGAAAAACTATGTTTACATGTTCAAGGTGCTGAAAAGTTCAGATTTTAATTTTCTAGAGGCGTTATCTTTGAGAATCTGATCCTAGTTTTTATTTCGTTTTATTCGTGTTAGAAACAATTTTTTCCTACTAGAATTACTATTTAACTTCTAACGTGTAAGTCAACGGAAAAATTGAAAACAAATAAATATTAGTAAATACATCTATCATATTCTGTTGCAAGTAAGCAACTTGTATAATCATTGTATTAGAAAAATAATTATTCTAGTTAATATGTTTTGATCTTTGAAATAATAGTGTAGAAATAATATAAGATTTTTCATTCATTAGATTATTTAAATTTTCAACAAAAATTATATTTGAATATTTTTTTTATATTGTAATCTTGCTCTAAGGGGAACTTACTCCCCCCTAAGATGTTGATTTTTTTGACAAATTTGTAGAGCAAATGAAACTACATATGCACTAAAATTTTTTCAAAGAACAGTCTCGTTTTGACAGAGTTACGAGTCTCGCAAATTATATGTTATTTTGGATCCCTAAGAGGGTAAAAAATTTACAAGCTGAATGGAATTTCGTTTTGAAGAAAACTCTGAAAAAAAAAGTCAAACTTTTCGACCCATATAGCAAAATGGTACAAATTTGGATCGCATTTGGCAAATTTTCCTATCAAAACATTATTTGCACGTAAAATGCATATGATATTCGGAATCAGCATAGAATACTGAGTCGAATAACATATATTTTACTGAAAAATCAACTTCGTCAAAATTTTCACCTGTACTCCCTCACAGCTCTTTTTCAAAAAAATTTGTCTATGCTCCTCCAGGTTGTGAAATCTTGATGGAATTGATTTTTCAGTAAAATATATATTATTCGACTCAGTTTTTTATGGTGATTTCGAATATCATATGCATTTTACGTGCAAATAATGTTTTGATAGGAAAATTTGTACCGTTTTGCGGTATGGGTCGAAAAGCTCAAATCCTTTTTTCTAGAGTTTTCTTCAAAACGAAATTCCATTCCGCTTAGTACATCCAAAATTTGATGGCGCGTCTTTTGAGTAAAACAGATTTTTCTCATAATGTACTATAGATCTGATATCACAGGCAAGGTTTTAAAAAAAATACTATCGGATATGGAAAAAATGCATTTAACAGAAAAATCAATGTTTCTCTGGAAATACTTATCCAATCATTGTAAAAATTTCAAAGTATATAGAATTTTAGCTACTCTATCCAACCATATGAAAATTAGATTAAAATCTTTTATTCGAAATTTTTTACCCTCTAGGGGTCCAAAATGACGTATAACTTGCGAGACCCGTAACTCTGTCAAAACGAGGCTGTTCTTTGAAAAAATTTCAGGATATATGCAGTTTCATTTGCTCTACGAACTAGTCAAAAAAATCAATACCTTAGGGGGATCCTCCCTTAATAAAATCATTGATCTTAACTAATAAAGATTTTGTTACAAAATGCATAAAATTACAATAGCCGATCAATATATACACACAAAAGAACAACAAAAATTTCAAATAATCAACATATTAAATTACTTTTTCTTAAATTATTTTAAATATTTCTACATAATAAAGAACATTGATTTGTATAGAAAATATCCTCTAATTACCTTTTATTATATGAGATAAAACTAAAAACAAGTCATAAAAATCATTTAATAATTGTAAGCAATCTAGAGAAATAAAAATTTATAGGTTTATTTTTTTCTACTTAACTGTAACGACAAACTAAAAGAGTCACTTATCATCAATATCGATACAACGGTATTTATTGAGCTACGTCATATCGCTAGAATGTAATTATTTCACGTGCTTCGCACAGGTTTTATATAGAAAAGAATGAGCGTGAGAGAAAGATGAGTAGAATAAAGAATACAGAACGAAGTAAGAACGAACGCGAGCGTGTGCAAAAGAACAGAAAAGGGAAGACAATCATTATCATTGCATGAATATGATTAGATATTGTTGTATCATTGATAAAAAAAAGAACAATTATATTAAAAGGAGTGCGATAACCCGTAAGATAGTGATATGATAATCTACACTTTTTTTTGATCGTCTAATTCGAATCCATGTTGAATTTTTGTCGGAATATTTTGTTCGTGTGATCATTCGAATTCATCATATGTTTTTAATTCTGCTCCATTCTGAATAGATAAACATATGTCTATTAGCAAAATAACATCATCATCATCAAAAGTAAAAGAACTAGATGAACTACAAACGTACATCATTCTTATCATTTGATAAATATTTTCATGCATATGTTAAACAATCAAAGTCATTATCGATAACAACTAATTTATAATGATTTTGTTGAATTAAAAATTGACCAATAGGATTATGACAAGTATACTGCATTTGTATATTCAATTTTTGCTTTCAAATATATTTATTTATTTTTATTCATTCTCATACCAACATATTCTAATGTTTTCTTTTTTTAATCATCATTCATAATATATAAGGATGTACGGAAACAAAACTGATCTATTTTTTTTTTTATTTGGTTTTTATCCTATAAGAAGTTATAGTGATAATATAGTTTAGTTTAGATTTCTATTTATGTTTTTTCTTTCCATATAATTGTTCTAAAAATAATCCAAGAAAAACTAATGCTGTTCCAAACATTTGTTGTTTTGTTATTGGATTACCAAAGATAAGTATTGAACAAAGTATAGTAAAAAATTTTCGTGTTGTTGTAAATATTGAACATGTCAATGGGCCAAACCATTCAATAGTAAGAAAGATAAAATTCTAAAATAAATTATAATATTTTTTTTTTCTTTTTGATTCTTAAAATAAATAAAATAAAAAACTAAAAATTCATATAGTTTACTTACTTGACCAATAGCACCAGTTAAACCAAGTAAAAATATATTTAAGATAACATTAGGATAAAGTTTAAGAAAACTATATAAACTATAAATTTCACCTGTAATTAATATACCAATAGATGCCCATAAACATGACCAAATATTCATTGAAAACATCATATGATAAGCTTGAACTTTATGTTTATCACGAATTTTATCTTGTATACCACCTGTTAGACCATCAAATACAAGTGAAACAAACTATATTAGAAAAAAATATCAATGATAATCAATTTTCAAATTCATTACAAAACTATTAAGAGTATCATTCCATTCTTAAGAATACATAACGATTTTACATAAAAAGATAGACAAAAAGTTCTTTGAACATTTTGATATATATATAGAAAATACAGTTTGAAATGTTGGTGTATAAGTGAGAACTTGCTGTGTATCCGTACTCTGAACTATTGTAGTCAAAATCAAATATGACTATCTTTTAATTCTTTGAAAAAAGTTATCTGAATAAATTCCAAAAACAATCCTTCAATACCTTCTGATAGAGACAAAAGGTTTTCATCGTTGAAAAGAGGAGATGAAGACGCATCGAATCATAGATTACAGATGTTAATGCCAAATGTATAGAGATTGATATAGTAAATTTTCATGAAAATGTAGCAAAAAACTGGAATTTTCTCGAAAAATCAAATAGAAGCCCACAGAAAAATGTCGTTAACTCCTGAATGTTAGAAGTTAAAAATCTGACCCTTACGCAGTTCGATTCGCGGTTCTGATACACTTCTAAAAATCGAAAATTCCTTGTGGTGACTGAGCACGATACACTGATTTGCCAAAAAAGGCTGTAATATATGATTCGATAGGTCTTCATTTCCTCTTTCCAACAGTGAAAACCGCAGGTTCGTATCTTCTTTCTATCGAAAGTTATTAGAAAAATACTCATTGATCCTCTACGTTGAAATGGATAATAGTACTTTTATGTTCTCATTGATATGATTTATAAGATATTTCAATTCAATCTTGAGTTTCAAGTAGGAAAAGCTTTTTTATCTTGATCCCACATATCTCTAATTCAATCACTAATGCTAATTTTCTTTTCATGATTACTAAAAGTCTCTAGTATCGACGAGGGAATATTTCTAAGTGTCAAACTGCTTTTGAATCGAGATTACGTGCATTAGGTAAATTCTAATAAGCTATGACTTCGCTCTAGTAGCTTATAATTACCTTAGCAGAATGCTGTGACCCAATTCAAAGACAAGTCCTAACAAGACTATTGAACTGAACTCATAGCTTATTGAAATTTACATAATACACATAGTCTCGATTCAAAAGCAATTTGATATTTAAAAACATTTTCTCATGAGATTTTTAAAATATCTAGAGTAAATTCAACCGATTAATGATGAATTTTGAAACTTATTTATTGATTACTTACCAAAAGAAATTCTCCAATACCAATTAAATCACCTGTATTTACTACTTTTGATTCTTTTGGTTTCTTATACATAAATAAAACGACACCTAAAATATTTTAATCAAATATAATTAAAAACAAAATCAAAATTCTTTTACCAAGAACAATTAATAAAACATAAAAATATTTTGTTAATGGATATCGTTTTCTTGCAACTAATACACCCAAAAGCATAACTGGTACAGGTTTAACTGATTTTCCAAGAACCTTGAAATCAAAAAGAAAACATTTTCAAAAATTAATTTATATGATACACAAAAAAAAAAAATTATTTTTTTTTTCGTTCAAATTTTCTACCTGCATCGGATAACTAACAAATTCTAAAGCAAAATTACTTGCAAGCATAGCAAATAAATATGTAAATGATGAAAATGCATACATTATTGATGGTGTTGCATCTTGATGAGTTTTACGTAAAATAAGTATGACTTTCGATACAATTGCATTAAAAATACATTGAAAAAAGACTAATGATAATATATATGTAAATTTATCATGTTGTCCATATGTTCCTTTTACTCTATAAAAAAATATTTACTTTTAGATTTTTACATAAAGATTAATAAAAAAAACCTACATTGATTCTTGAACAATACCAAATAAAAGATAAGCAACAAATATTCCAAGAAAACAAATAAATAATTTCATTGTTTGAGAATTTAATAGAGATTTTACTTTATGATGATGCATTCCAGAATGTTTTATATCTTCATCCATTGTTAAAATAAAATTTAAACTCGTTTATAATTAATTAATACACGTAGTAATAGTAGTAGAAAAAAAGAAAAAAAAAAAAAACTTGTCATAATATCGACTGGAAAGAAGAAGAAGCAATCGAAAACAAGAGGTACTAGGACATCTATAGAAGTAAAAAGGAAAGGTTAATGATAAAGATAAATGGCTGAATAAAATGATTATTTAAATATTTTCACTTATATATTAAAATGTCAACAACGATGGATCAAGTTGTAAAACGAGCTAAAGATAGTTTTGGACAAATGTTTGATAAAAGTTTACATGATCTTGTTCGTGGTATTCGAAATCATAAAGATAATGAAGTATGATTTCAAGAACAAACAAATAATTAAATATTAATATTTTTCTTAAGGCTAAATATATAAATGAAGCTATGGATGAAATTAAACAAGAACTTAAACAAGATAATATAGCAGTCAAAGCAAATGCTGTGAATAAATTAATTTATGTATGCAAAAAAAAAATAGAATTATTCTATTTTTCTTTTTTTTTCTCTATATTCGATCATTTTTCATTTATTTTCCTATATAGCTTCAAATGCTCGGTTATGATATATCATGGAGTGCATTTAATATTATTGAAGTAATGAGTTCGAATAGATTTACTTTTAAAGTAAGAAAATATGATTTTGTATTATAATGAAAAATAGTAATGATTTCGAAAACTAAACATCATTTTTCATTAGTTAAAGTTTACATAATACAATCATAAGAGATTTTATTATGTAAAATTCAAAGATCTTAAATTTACTTCTCTTTATTCATTGAAGGAAAGAAATGAATTATAAAATATTTCAATTTTATATTAGCATACAATAAATATGATATATATATATTGCTAGATCCTTCAAATAAGTCTCATAGAAATTTTGAATTATTATTTTGTAATTCATTTTTGGTATGAACTTTTTAAATTTCAATTGATATGAGCAATGAACTTGAAATAACAAATTCGGACGAATAAGTATGAAGATATGAATGAGATGGTATATAGTCAATATCAAAGATGTACATCGTGGCAGTAGGATTTACAAATCTTACGCTCTAAAACTAAATGAATCTCGTGAGACAGTAATAATAATGATATTCACAATACTTTCATGAAATATTATTATTACAAATGACAATCTCCTGGGATAGAAGTTTAAGATAAATGCTTCATTCTTAGACTGTTATATCAGACCATTAATACATTCGATAGCTTTTAAGAAAAAAGTCTATGACACATATACATCTCATATTTGACAAAGTTTCAAACGAAACATTGTATAATGATTTCAAATATTGGAAAATTTTAAATTCTTCCATTTCGTTAAGATCCTTCCGTCTACTCACAAAAGTTCTCTCATTTAACCATGCCTATTTGAACTGAAATTTTCAAGGATAAGCAGTCATTGTAAGAAAACATTTTTCATAAAAGTTTCAACTTAATATATTGAACTGAACTTCTTACAAAGTGAATCCACACGAAATTGAAATTAATTCATCTAAATTTTTATTAATTTCTTCATGAGTTTCGTTTAACTTGAATAGATTCAGGATTTGATTAGTGCTCATAACCACTTTTATCACTCGGCAGATAATTATAGGTATGGACATATACATAACAACTGTTCACCATGTATTGATTTATTACTAAAAAGTGATTGATATCTATCTTTATAATTTATCTCTTAAGTAATGAATAACAAGATGGTATTAATCTATGTTCTTATCTATTTTATTGCACTGAATGATTGATGATAGATTTATATGAACATAGTTCGATATTAATCTTATAATAATCATATCTTTATTCAATATTTTCTTTCGATCAAAATATAGATTATTAATAAAAAAAAAAAATTTACTAATCAAAGATTCTAATTTATATATAATTTCTTTTTATTTTAGCGAATTGGTTATCTAGCTGCTTCACAATGTTTTTATGATGGAACAGATGTTTTAATGTTAACAACAAATATGATTCGAAAGGTTAATTTGATTTTTTGCTGTTTATACATTGTATTTAATAAAATGAATATTTTTAAGGATTTAAGTAGTACATCAATGTATGAAGCAGGTATTGCTATGAGTGGTCTTTCATGTTTTATAAATAGTGATCTTGCACATGATTTAGCTAATGATATAATGACGCTTGTAAGAAATAATTGTATTTTTATTTTTATTTATTTAAATAAATTTTTTATAGATGACATCAACAAAACCATATATTCGTAAACGAGCTATTCTACTTTTATATAAAGTATTTCTTAATAATCCTGATGCTCTTAAACCAGCATTTCCACGTTTAAAAGAAAAACTTGAAGATTCCGATTCAGGTAAATTGATTAAATAAAAAAAAAAAACAACAACAGAATTTTAATATTTTATTTTTAGGTGTACAAGCAGCTGCTGTGAATGTTATTTGTGAATTAGCTAGACGTAATCCAAAAAATTATCTTGCTTTAGCTCCAATATTTTTTCGTCTTATGACAACATCAACTAACAATTGGGTGCTTATTAAAATTATTAAATTAGTAAATAAAATTTGTTTAACTTTTTTTTTGTTTTCAAGTGATTGTTTTTCTTTTGTATTTAGTTTGGTGCATTAACACCATTAGAACCTCGTCTAGGCAAAAAATTAATAGAACCATTGACAAATTTAATTCATAGTACTTCAGCTATGTCTCTTTTATATGAATGTATTAATACTGTGATTGCTGGTAAAATGAAATCAAAAAAAACAAAATAAATTTTAATTTAAGTACATTTTTATTTAAGTTCTTGTTTCAATTTCATCGGGTTTACCAAATCATAATGCTTCAATTCAATTATGTGTACAAAAACTTCGAATACTTATTGAAGATTCAGATCAAAATTGTATGAAATAAATTCATTATATAAAAAAAAAAAAAAGTAAATTTTTATATTATTTTTTAGTAAAATATCTTGGTTTACTTGCTATGTCAAAAATCTTACATACACATCCAAAAAGTGTTCAAGCACATAGTGATTTAATAATGCGTTGTCTTGATGATAAAGATGAATCAATACGTTTACGTGCACTTGATCTTCTTTCTGGAATGGTAAGAAAATGAATTATTAACCCTTTACCCCCCCCATAGAGGTTCCAGAAGAGCTATTGATGAAACAGCCATTGGAATAGAGTATTGGTGCCTCCAATATGCTAAAAGTACGGTCAGATCGATCAAACGCACACTTGAGTTTTAGGGTAGTTTGCTGAGGGGGAGTAGGGGGATCGATTTGGAAAAAATTTCGTGAACTTTCCGTAATACCGACGGAGTTCGGCCAAAAAACGTCGTAGAGAGCTCGTGGACGTCTTATTTTGTAGAGAACTATTAACTCTATAATTTTACGTAGTTTAAACAAAACTTTATTTTCGGATTGTAGACGGCCAAAAGCTAAGGGTTGATTTTCTGGAAGTTCTTCAGTGACCATTCGATGCTTTACCACATCTTGCCTACCTAATGCTTTTCAAATTTTTGAAACTTATATAATCTACTAGTGGACACTTTCTTTGATGTAAATCACGCAACACGTCGCCAAGATATATATTGTCTAGAGGTAGAAAAAGAATTTTACCAAAAAAATTCCATTTTTTACTTTTTTTGAAAATCATCGATTTTATAAGTTGTATATCTCGGCACTAGCACAGCGAAAAAAAATCTTTTTTTTTACTAGTCGATAGCTCATGAAGTTTACTACAAATAGTGCTCTTAGAGGTTTTGAATTCTATGCTTCCTCTATTTTCTGCAATCGTTCTACAAATGGCCATTCCAGTGACTAAGGGGGGGGGGGGGTAAAGGGTTAACTAAAAATAATTATGAATTTTTGTTCAGATAACAAGAAAAACTCTAATGGATATCGTACATAAATTAATGGTTCATATGGATAAATCTGAAGGATCACATTATCGAGATGAATTACTTTCAAAAATAATTGAAATATGTAGTCAAAATGATTATCAACATATAACTAATTTTGAATGGTTTATATTTATTTCTTTAATTTTTTTATTAATAAAAAAAAACAAAAATTATTTATTAAAATAGGTACATAAGTATATTGGTTGAATTAACTCGTCTTGAAGGTACAAAACATGGTAATCTCATATCTTTACAAATGCTTGATGTAGCTGTTCGTGTTGAATCTATTCGTTCATTTGCTTGTAATCAAATGGTAGAAATTTCTGCACAAAATAAAATCAACAGAAAAAAAAAAAAATTCTTTTATTTCTATTTTTTTGCAGACAATTCTTCTTGAAAATGCTCATGTTTTTATTCATGGTTCAAATTCTACAACTGTTGCTGAAGTTTTATATGCTGCTGCATGGATTTGTGGTGAATTTTGTTCGTAAGTTAATAACGAAAAAACAAAACTTGTTTTTTTTCTTTTTTTCTCTTATAGTCATTTAAAAGAACCACAAAAAACTCTTGAATCAATGCTTAATACAAAAATTACTCTATTTCCTGGACATATTCAATCTGTTTATTATCAAAATATTTTAAAAATTATAACATATTTAATTCAAACATCAAATAATGATCAAATATTAATTCAACAACTACTTTCATTAACAATTGATAAAATGTCTTTATTTTTATCAAGTGGTGATGTTGAAGCACAAGAACGAGTAGGCGATCAATTTTATTTTAATTATTAAATATAACGAAAAGAAATTATTTATTTTAGGCAAGTGTTATTTTACATATTCTTAAAACAATATTAAAATTAATTGAAAAATCTGAATTTAATATTAATGAATTATCAGCATTATTTGATGGTATTCTTAATCCAGTTGCTGCTAAAGCTCAAAGAAAAGTTGCTGTACCAAATGGGTAAAATAAAAATTTGTTTAATAAATTTTTCTTTTTTTTTGAATTTGATTATATTCTAGTTTGAATTTGGATGCTTGGATAAATGATCCTCCATCAGATAGTGAAGATGAATCAATAACAA